CTGAGAGTAGTAGTAGCAGTGGTGAGGAAGACGATGAGGCGAACAACATATTAGCTGAAACTGCTATGCCTTCCAGTACTAGTATTAGAAAGTTGGTAACAGTTGTATCTGTATCAAGGAAGACCTGTGTCTGTGGTGGTAGTGACCACATGCGGCGCTCTAACAAGAAGTGTCTGCAGTACAAGCCAAGGCAAGGGAGAGAAAAGAAGTAGCCGACTATCTAGTTTTTCATTTTATGAACCAATGTAAGTTAGCACTGAATATCACAACCTAGATTATGCTTTATCATAAAGTAATAGTCTTTGGTAACATGCTTGTTGTTAGTATTGCATTTTTCTATAAATCTCATGTATATGCTGTTCTCTAAATCTCATGTTCTCTAAAGCACAATGGTGTACTATGTGCAATGCTGTGATAGTTGCACAACTGTGATTCTCAAGAAAGAGGGGAGAACCATGGGATGTAAGGTGCTTATGTTTACAACCTTTGTAAAGTCTCTTATGTTGGCTTCACGACTGACATGAAATCTTAACTTACATTGTTTGTAAATATCTATAGCCACCTATATTATTCAACTGCGTCTATCTTAACCCTCAACAGAACACCTTCCCGGACTGATTAATCTGTACACCTGGGGTCCGCGCGGACCCCAGAACAGTTTTTTGCTAATTTTAGAAATTATCAACATGCAACCAGCTCAATTGTTTTGCAAACTGATGCGGGAACCTCTGTGTCCACATTACATACAAAAATCATACGTTTTGAACTTTTTCTATTTTTTTGGTGAAGACAAGAAGAAATACCCGATTTTTAATCCCATTTCAGACTGAAGGGGCTTTTGAGGCCCAACTTTGATCGCAGATAGCGGCTAAACGGCTTGCGCTAGAAGTATCAAATTTGGAGACCTTTCCTAAAATGTCTCTGGAAAAAGGTTCATATTAGTTTAATACTAGTAAGTTGATGTTTTTTTGTGTTGCCATGGCAACGGGTTTCTTTTTTGAAAATAGAAGTAATTTTGGTTTAAACATAAAAGTTTTATATTAAATTACATTTCTTTTTCAACATTAATAACATCTTACATAATTAAATATCAGTTAAATCATTTAATATGCATAGAATATGCTACTTTGATGACGTCATTGGTCAAAATCCAATATGGCGGACTATATTATTAGCTCTGACATCATATGACGTCATAATTACACCAAAGTTATTAAAATTTAATTCTATTACTACACCATTCTCTGAAAACTTGGTAGACATACCATGAGTGCATAAAAACATATAAAAACTGAAATAAGGTAATGTATAAGAACGCCAGTGTATCCATTATGATCGAAAGCCGGCTGGGGTCCGTGCGGACCCCAAAAGAAAATCATATATAATTTTTTTATAAATGGTAGAACGGAGTTTCTGCACTGTATTGAGAGACAACTTTGTGGGTGACAATTA